AGAAGGGGTGCCACTGAGGGAGGGCAAGGGCCGCTCCGCTCCGAGGCCGCCCCCTTCCTCTGCTGTCCTTTAATCAAGACCTGCCGCTTCCCAGCCTCTGCCATCATCCCCTGCCAGGGGTGCACTGAAGAACAAAAGAGAAAAACTAGAAATGGAGCCTTCAGGGCAGCACTAGGTAATGAAATGTAATCACAGAAAGTGGGCCCCAGGCCAGCAGGAGAGGCTTATATAAGCAGCCATAGCCTCCCCCCACCCCCACAATTTCCTGCTCTCTGACTTCACCTGGGTCCTGGTCGGGGGCCCCACCTCTGTCATCTTTAGTTGACCACCCCCACTGCCTCTGCTCCCTGTCCCCACTGGCCTGTCCACTCAGGTCCCTCCCCACCTCTGCCTTCTCTCCACAGACAAGCTGCCTCCTACTTCCCCAAGAAGGCTCCGAACCCGAGCTCCCTCACCTTCCCTCTGCCCTAGGGGGTGAGGCAGACCAAGTGGGGGTCAAGGTAGAGGTGGCTTCTCTAGAGGGTCTGCTGAGCCAAGGCCAGGCCTGCCCACAGCCTTCGGATGACAGCAGTGGAGACAAGTGGGAGCTCGGGCCACAGAGCATTTGCTGGCAGAGGCTGCGAGCCTCAAGCTGTCCAGCCTGCTGTCTTCTCCTGCCTGGAAGTTCTGGAGCTTAGCCAGGGACCCAGCACACCGCTCTCTCCTTTCTCTTCTCCACCTATCAGAGTGTTTACACGCGTCTCTGGTAATCTGTGGCATACTAGTGTGAATTCAGTTCAGATAATGTGGTGTTTGTTGTTAATTGTGAGGAAAAACTTTGGATAGTCTTCTAAGCGCTCTCCCCAAATTCTTCCTGGGGACCCCTCCATTCTTTCCTTCCTTCCATCCATCGTCCATAACTCCAGTTTGCAAGGACTTTGGGGATGGGAAAAGACAAGGAGGAATAGAGACAGAGAAGATTCTATCCTGGTCCTTCAAGTTACTCAGAACCCAGTGGAACAGACAGAAGCTTCAACAACTCATTTTAACATAACCTGGTAACGGTTCTGAGGGAAGGAGAGCAGGAAGCAGAGAGCAAAGGAGAGGAAGGGGAGGCTCTGGGGAGGTGGGGACAGCTGTGCACAGGAGGCAGCATTTGGACTGAGACCTGAAGGACAGGAGTTCCCAGGGGAAAGGGGCAGTGTGGAGCTGTCCACGGTGGGTTTGGGAGAGCTCAACAATGTAGTAGAAATGTATGAGGCTGGAGCGTATGAGGCAGGAGAGCTAGAATGTCCTGGGCCTGATTCCATGTATAGTAGGAACCTTGGAAGGGGGTTGGGAAGGGGAGTTCTGCTATACTCAGGACACACGCGCGCGCGCATGCGTGTGGGCCCAGGCGCCCTGGAGGCCATGTTGCATGCCAGTGGTTGAACCCAGAATGCTCTTTGCTTCCTTTCCTTGTCTTTCCTCCTCCAACTCCTAACTGATTGGGTCAATCAGAGCCTCTCCCAGGAATTTAAAGGCTTTGGAGATTCAAGTTTGTCTCTGTTGTGGGCTCATAAGCTCTAAGGCAGCCACAGTTGGCCTTGCATGCTTAAGGTAGCTGAGAGAGACCGGTGTCCATGTAGCCAACGACAGGCAGGTTACAGCCACTGCCTGCACTCCTTCCCGACCTTCTTTCTGGTCCTGGCCTCGTTGGTTCTGGGCCTTCACGAGGCTTGGCGGCCCTGACTGTCCTTACCCTCCAGTATGAGATACTCTTTTCCACATAAACTCACTTGAGTAGCTTTCAACATTCTGAATCTATTTTTCAACCATGAGACATAGCCACATTTAAGAGAAACAAATATCAAGAAATAAAATTCACCCTTACCATGGGTAATGTATTCTTGAGAGTCTCTATTCTGTCTTTTATATGTTGGTCACAATAAATACAGGAGTTTGAAAAACAGGAAATAACATGAGTGTTTTTCTCTTATTTGCAATCAAGAGCTTCATTTGAGAAATCATGTTCACATACTTAACCAGTAGCCAGGGGGTGGGGGTGGGGTGATACAATTCCTACTCATCAGAAACTACCCTTATATCTGATCAGGAATAAGAAATAAGTTTCAATTTCTATGTCAACTTCAATCCATTGTCAGTGGGCTCCCTGGAGCACTGGTGGAGGGGGATCTGAAGCTCTACCCAGACCCAGAGGGAGAGGGTGCGGTGACGTCTACCAGGCGCAGGAGCGGTGGGCATGCCACTCATCTCAGCACCTCCCAAGGGCCTGGCATAGAGCAGGTGCTCATTAAATATTTGTTGAATAAGTCAATGAAGTATTTCCTATCCTTGATCTTTGTTGCCTAACCAGGTTAACCTACCTCCACGATGGTTCGCCTGCTCTCATCTTTTTTATATATATATAAATGTTTTAAAATATGTTTTTCATTGATTTTTTTAGAAACATCAATGAGAGAGAACATTGATTGGCTGCCTCCTGCACGCCCCCTGCTGGTGATCGAGCCCACAACCTGGGCATGTGCCCTGGCCGGGAAACAAACTGGGACCTCTCAGAACACGGGACTATGCTCAACCCAGGCAATACTGGCCTCCATCTTAATGTCACATCCCAGAGTTCCCTTTCGCCCAGCAGGAATTCCTAAAAGCTTTCTTAATGAAGACAGAATATTCTTCAGTATCCTGGTCTCTTTTTCACTGGGACCTTGCTTGGCTTCCTGCCTCTCATATTTGTCCTCTAGAATCATGTTGACCCCAGTTTCCTTCAGCTTCCTAGTTTATGCTCTGCCTTGACTTTACCTCGGGTCCTCCCTGCCTTGGTCCCATTCATCAGCCTGGCTCCTGCCCCTGTGCTCTGGGCCTCCCGCCCTTCTCAAAGACCTTTGTTCTGCCCCTCCTGTCTTCCCTGTGGCATCTCACCTCTTCCTAGCTCCCCACCCCCGAGCCTGCGGCACCCCAGAGTGCAAACACAATGTGCACATTGATGGGGACAAAATAGTCTATGGGATGAGATGTTGGCATTGGCACTGATCACAGATGCACTCCACAAGAGCTGATAAACTGAGCGGGAGCCACTGCAAAGAGCCGTTTGCCGAGAAGCAAGGCATTTCTGCTGTCACACATGACATAAGCGCAAAGGATTCCGTGGGCCCAGGCGTCAGGTGTGTTGTTTTTAAGCAGAAACAACATCTCCTTCCATTTCTCTGAGACAACTGAGTGGACAAAGAAGAATCAAGGCTCTTGGCCGGCAGGCCAGAGCAGAGCCGCTGCCACTGGAATCCTACCACTGTGGGGTCAGGGCCTACGATTGACTGAGTGCAGGAGAATTTAGCTTGGTTTTTCTTTAAATCACACGCAGGCTATTCAAGGATGCACACAATATGAGGACTCAACCTCCTGGGACCCCTTCTCTCTCCTTGGCCACCACGTCCTCCTGGGCAGCATCTAGACTGGAGTAGGGACAATGACTCCGGGCTCTATGAGGAAAGCTCTCCCAAGTGGCCACCTCCGCACCCTGCACGTGCCACTCAGACACGACAGGCATCTGCCTGGGGCTGACCGGCTGAATTAATTGCAATTTCCCTGGCTCTTTCCTTGGTGCTTGGAGTCATTTCCTGGAACAAAGGGGGGAGGAAAATATTTCCCCCAAATACCAAGAAGAGTTATTTTGAGCATAAGATGTACAAAATATGAGGACTCCTTTGGCCAACATGGAAACGTTCCCCTCAGCCCAATGTCCTCAATTGCTTGAAAAGGAAAAAACCTGAAAGCACCCATCGTTTTTCTCTTGCCTTCTCCCCCTACCGAAATGAGAGAAACGGTCGGTCGGCACGGCCTTTCTCTTCTTGAGGCCATTAGAATGGAAGCATCAAGGTTCTGCAAACTAAAAAGATTGGGTACCCTCTCTTCCTCCAGCCCCAGCTGCCCACTGCCCACCAGAGCTCTACAGAACACACATCAGGGAGCCGACGGACGTCAGTTCCTGCAAAGGGGTGTCATGGAGCTTGTGCTCCTGTGGTGGTGTCTTCAAGTTCCTGCCCTCTGCCCCACCGGCCCGGAAGACCGTCCTTCCCGCAGAAGATAATCATCCTTTTTCTGCAAAGTGCCACTCTCAAATGACAACCAGGCCACTTGTCGCACTCAGGTCTAACTGTATTTAAGAAGTCACTTTTCTAAAGCGCCACCATCCTTAAGCTATGGAAACTGGAGTGTCAAGGCAACCACACCCACAGTGAAATCTAAAGCAGGCCCGGGAGAAGGTAGGCCACGGCCGCCTGGTCGGTCAGCGCCTGTTTGCTGGTCTTGGCCAGAGAAGTGGGAATGGGAGTGACGGGCCCCTCCCATGACCCTCTGTTCTGTTGCCCCAAAGAAACCCTATTTTATCAGTCCCGGAGAAGAAAATTTCACAGCTTTGAAACCAGAAGTGGTAAGACCCAGTACAATTTCTCTGGGAAGATCTGGTTTCTTCCTGTCTCCTTTTCTCTCCCACCCCCACCTCCATCCTTGTCTACCTTATATAGCCCTCATATTCAGAGGTGGGGACTCCCCCACCCCAGTAGAAAATGATGCCTGAATTTTTATCCACAGAACAAGGCTATGTATATCTAGTCCTCAGGAACTGAATGCTCCTATCCATGTCCCCCGATCCTTCAACTTCATCTCCCACCCCCAGATGGGTGCGAGGTACCCTGATCTTTGGGTGGTGTATGTGCTCAAGGCAATTTCCAAAGCATCCCAGGGGCTGGGCTGGCGGGGGAGGGGCCCCGGCTATCCCTGAGCATAGATTCCTGCCTGGTGGGCACAGGCAGAGGTCAGCCCAGCCCCGAATCCAAGCTCCCCAGCTCCCAGCAGCCTTTCCTCTGGTTAGAACTCTGTGCAAAGCTATCATGGTCCAGAACCAAGCCCTCCACACTGCCCTTCGCCTGCCTCAGTTTCCCCGGAGGCCTCAGTGGGGTGGGGAGATGTGGCCTGCCAAGAAGTACCGGGGGGAAGGAGAAAGGAGCGCCCCAGGGCCTTACCTCGCAGCTGCTCCGCGATCCCTGCGGGGCTCCATGCCTGCCCGCCCCTCTTATAGCCGCCCAGGCACAACTTTCGCAACTGCCCGCAACTGCCCGGAGCACCCGGAGTGCCAGCTCCCGCCCCACCCCGTGGGCCGCTGGGCCTCGAGGGAGGGACTCTGCTGCACCAGAAGCCACGCGCGCACCCTCAGGTACTCCCCGAAAGTCTGGGGACCGCTGACAGGAGCAAGAAATCCTCGAGCTCCCGTCAGAGGCTGTGGTGCTTCTGTGGCCGGAGAATCAGCCTCTGGGGGACTGGTGGCTGGGGCCTCCTTTGATCCGGCTGGAGTGCCCTTCCAGCCGACTCTCCCTCCCTCCAGCCGACTTGGGTGACCTGTTCCATCTCCTCCCCTAGGCTGTACAGGGAGAGCTGGGGCTGGGCCATCCACTTTTAAAGTCCTGGTATTCTTACAGTGCCAGGCACATGTGGGTGCCCAAGAAAAGTTTGCTGAATTGGACACCCAGGGGCACCATGCACCACAGAACTGGCTTTTGACATGGTGTATTAGTGATTCCTCTGGTGTCCAGGCCACTGAGAGGGTAGATTTTTTACAACTTGGGAAAACCTGCAGTGATGGTGGTGTAGAGGGCATAAGGAAAGCCAGGTTCACACCAGGCCTTGCCAGTCACCTTGTGTTGGTGACTCTGATGGAAACATGCTCCCTATAAACTGTGTCCCACCAGGTGGCAGGGTCAGTCCACAGCCCAGTGCCTAGCACAGAGTATTTCATCCTTTTTTTTTAAATCCTCATTCGAGGACATTTTTTCACTTTTTGTTCAGACAGAGTGGGAGGGAGAGAGAGGAAGAGTAAGAGAGAGAGAGAGAGAGAGAGATCGACATGAAAGGGACACATGGAGTGGCTGCCACCTGCACGACCCAACTAGGGCTGGGGACAAACTGCAACAGAGGTACCTGCCCTTAGTGGGAACTGAACCCAAGTCTCCCTGGACCGCAGGCTGACGGTCTAACTGCTGAGCCAGATCAGCCAGGGCAAGTATTTCATTCTTGAGATATTTTTAAATGAAAATTGCAAGCATACAGAAAAGTAGGCAATATACCTACCCACAGCCTAGATTTAACAATGAGTATTTTTTCATATTTGGCTCATTTATTTTTTGGATAAAATATTTGACAGCAAATTACAAACATCATGACATTTTATCCTTTCAGTGTGTATCTCTAAAAAGTAAGGAAGCATTTCTACATAACTGCAAGACCATTCTCACACAACAGTAATTCCTTAGTATTATAGAAAGTCCAATTTATGCATTCAAATTTCCCCAAATAGCTAAAAAAAAAATAATAAAAAGGCTTTTAGAGTTGCTTTGCTTGAGCCTGGTTGTTTTGCTCTTACTAACTACTTATTGAAGGAAGAAAGGAAAAAAGGAAGGAAGGAAGGAAGGAAGGAAGGAAGGAAGGAAGGAAGGAAGGAAGGAAGGAAGGAAAAGTCAGACATTGTTAGCATTGACTAAGATTTATAATTACACTGCTACCCAAAAGGTGGGAAGCCAACTAAATGCCCAGCACAGGAAATTGGTAAGATGATTGAAAAGCCACATGAGAGCAATAGGCACACATTAAAAATCATGCTGTAAAATAATATTTAATGATGTAGGAAAAATAATTATATCTTGTGACCTGGAAAGAATCAGATTACAAAATGGTGTGTGTTTTCTGATCATACATGTCAACACGCACTGAAGATGTTATCACTGCAGGGTGTGAAATTAGGAAAGATTTTTAATCTCTTCTTTGTGTCTTTACATTTTAAAAAAGTGTTTACAATGGAATTACATTTTAAAGAGAAATTTTATAGTTTTCACAGAAGTGATATTTTGTATTTATATTTATACACACACACACATATATATGTATATATACATATACATAAATATAAAGACCAAAACACTCACTATAATTAAGTTTTCCTTGTCCCCAATGTCTTTGTAAATTAGTTCTAAGTAAGGACCTTGGCAGCCTCAGGTGACTTGTGTCAGCATTACCTTCTCTTTCTTTTTGAGAGAGCTAGAAACATCAATGTGAGAGAGAACATTGATTGGCACGCCCCCAACTGGGGATCAAGCCCACAACCTGGGCATGTGCCCTGTCTTGGAATGGAACGGGGACCTCAGTCCATGGACAGCACTCAGTCCACTGAGCCACAGCGGCTGGGCAGCATTACCTTCTTCAGGGTGTATTGGGACCCAGTTATTGTGTGAACATCAAGGTGCACTGAGACCACACTGTAAGGATATGGACCATGTGGTCTGTCTATCAATCACCTGCCTATTTTTTTTTGTATTTGGTTGATTAATAAATTATTGTATTATTTTATTTTTAAATCACATAGAAAATATTTTCTTTGAAAAATTTCGAAAGGTACAAATTGATATGAAATCTCAGTTCCCACTCCCCCCTACTTCTCTCCCTTGATGTAATGGTTGTTACCAGTTTCTGGTGTGTCCTTTCATGGATATTCTTTTTCTAGCCCTCATATATCTATTTTCTTTAACACACACACACACACACACACACACACACACACACACACAAACTATGTCATACTATTCATACTACTGTTCCTGCCCCTTGCTTTAAAATGTTTTATTTTGGAAAATTTCAAATTTCCATGATGCATTCATGAGGAAAAAAAATGGCATAACAAATCTCCATGTACCCATCGTCCAGCTTCAACCATTATTTATCTCACTTCTTTCGCCTAATGTATCTATTTTCTTACCAACATGCGCAGAGCTATGCCAATCTTTTAAAAGTCAACATATATTTCATGTTATGGATGTACCATAATCAATCTAATTATTTGTTACATACATAAAAATGTTGTAATTAATTTATTTAAATATGCTTATTTGAGCACTGCGAGAGTATATCTGTGGGAGAAATTTTGATAAGTAGAATTGTCGAGTCAGAGAGTATTCACATTCAAAATGCAAATACATTGCCAAATTACATTCTTTCGAGATTGCACCAATTTGCAATTGACTGCAAGTAACAGCCACGTAAGCATTAAGGACTTTTAGTTATGCAGAAGTCTGGAAGAGGCAGGGGCAGTACCAGGTGGCATTATTGAGAATCCTGCTCCTTCAGATCTTCTATTTTTCCACTGTGTCCCATGCTTAGTGCTTCGTGGTTGCAAGATGATGCTACCGCTTCAAGCATTGTGTCCTCTCTTCTTGAAATTCTGTTTCAAATTGGGGAAGGGAAGTCTGATTTTCCTGCATTTGGCATTGACCACAAACGGTACATATGCCCATTCCTAGACCAATCACTGACAAAAGGGAATGTGATTGCCACGACTGATTTGGACCAATCATAATCCTTCCTCGGGTTCTGGGGTAGGTCAAGGCAGATGAAGTGAAGCTCTGTCCTTACCTGAAAGAACTGGGGTTCCATGAATTTGGAAGGAGGAGAGCAAAACTGGCTCTTGGGTACACAACCAATAGTACTTGCTATAGTACTCACCCATGGTGTATTATCAAACTTCTAATCAACTTGACTTAATATTAAATAGTCAGACTTTAAAATCCTTTTTTGTTTGAATCCTGACAACCTTCACACTTTTTTAAAAAAAGGTAATTCTAACACTTTGGTGTTGAATATTGCCTTTTCTTTTTCAAAGCTCTTTCCTGATCTCATTTGATTTGATCCACAGAAAGAGGTAGAACAGGTCTTAGTTCCATGCTACAGATGGGAACCTGAGAATCAGAGCAGTCAAGGGACTTGCCCAGCAAGTGACATGATTAGATGCTACAGTTCTCCGTCGAGGTGGCCCCTGCAGTTCTGCACTGATGTCAGTGGAGAGACTGACATCGGCATGAGCTGTGGGCTCGTGTGGGCACGATGGAAGCGAAGATGGCCTCACGGAGCTCCGTGCTTTCAGCACCAACTGACGGTGTCCTGCTGGGGGGAAGAAAGGCAGACAAAGGTTAAGTCTCTGTTCCGATTTTAGGTCATTCCCAACCAGGCAGCTAGTTTTGTAAGAAATAGGTCTTTCAACCCACTTTGAGGAAGGGTCTACACAGACCTATAGAAAGTGTGAAAAAGCAACTAGGTAATTCAGTCAAATAATGAGTCTACCATTTCCCCAAATTGTGTGTGTATGTGTATGTGTATGTGTGTGTGTGTGTGCGTGTGCTTGTACAAGACTGGTTCTTTTGGTATGTATGTGGCCTCTTAGGGATGAGCTCCCCAAGGGCAGAGGTCATACCTTATTCACCTCACTGTTCCCAGCCCCTGGCGTATGCCTGGGCCGTAGCAGGTGTTCCATGAATGCCTGTCAGGTGCATGAATGGTCGGAGTTGTTTCTGCTAATGACTGATGTTCTTCCTATTATTATCTGTCAGAGCACCCTGTTTATTTCTACATTGCAGCACTCAAAAACTACTATCAATCAATTACTTGATTTAAAATTTGTCTATTTTTTGGTCTCCATCATGAGAACACAAATTCTGTGACGGTCAACACTGGGTCTGCCCAGTCCCAACCTGGGGCCTGACACATAGGAAGGGCTCTATAAACTGTTCAATGAAGCTTTGAACAAATGTTTGTATTCCTGGCACATGGTAGGCCCTCAATAATTATCCATGGGATGAATTCCTGCCTAACTCCGACAAAGAGTTCACGTGAACATACCTTTGACAGGCTGGTGTGAAGACTGTAGCTTGACAAAGTGAGGTCGGGCAGGTAGTCAGGACACCCAGCAGTGCCCCACACGGACAGAGGGCTGCGTGAGGTCTGCTGGCTTACATGAAACCACACTCGCATCGCAATTCCTCAGCACTCTTGGGTCTGACCTATTTCTCGTGTCCTCTAGTTCTGCACGATGATTTTGCTCATTAATAAATGATTCGTGCCTTGCCTGGTTTGGCTTAGCAGTTAGAATGTCAGCCCATGGACTGAACAGTCTCAAGTTCGATCCCGGCCCCAGTCAGGGTTGTGCAGGAGGCA